GGGTGGGTGAAGGGAGACGCCAGGCAGTGTCAGATAATATAAAATGATAATTTATAAAGTATTAAGGGTTCATGATGGGGGGGAAGCAGGAAGGGAGAGGGGGAAAATGAAAATGAGGAGCTGATTCCAGGAACCCAATCAGAAAGCGAATTTTGAGAATGATGAGGGCAACAAATGTATAAGTGTGTCTTACCCAATTGATGTATGTATGGATTGTGATAAGAGTTGTATGAGCCCCAATCAAATGATTTTTTTTTAAAAAAGAGCCCCCAATTAAATGATTTAAAAAAAAAAAGAATAAGCAGTGGAGTGTATTCTGTGTGCTCTGAGATCCCTGAACTTTGACCTTCCAAGATTGAGGGACAAAAAATGTGATACCAGAGAAGTGACAAAGGAATGCAAAGGAGCGGCAGCAGTCAAACCAAGTTCCAGAGCCATGACAACGGACTGGGTTTCCTGGGTCGCAGAGGAAACAAAGCTGAGGACCTTTGGACAGGAGCTCACGTCAAGTGTATGAGGTGCCTCATTTACTGCATTAGGGAGCTTAGTCTACTGACTCATGGAAATAAAACAGTATATCTTTTGGCTGAGGCTTATGGAGGAATGATGTGTCCTTTGAATATCAATTAAGAATAGATGCATTTGAATTATGGTTCTGGCAAAGAATATTGAAAATACCATGGGCTGTCAAAAGAATAAACAAATTTATCTTGGAAAAAGTACTGCCAGAATGTTCCTTAGATACAACAATCATGATATTTTTCAAGATAAATCTTGAAGTACAATAATGTTTATGATAGGGTAATATATCTATCCACGTATAAGAAAATAAAATCAATAAAATTATTATTCAAATTTACACGCTAATGACTAACACGAGTGATGCAGAAGGTGACGAATTCTACCAACAAGTTCACTCTGAAATTGATCAAACATGCAGTCAAAATGCACTGATAATTATTGATTAGGATGCAAAAATTGGAAACAAAGAGAAAGGGACAACAGTTGGAAAATAAGGACATTGATGTTTCTCTTCCTCCATCTGTGATAGATGGTTTTGTGTGAACTTGAATGAGTCATTATTCTCAGTGGTTTGGCAGTTGATATCTGTTTATTCAATTATCTAACTCAGTGTAGTCATCTCTACAATAGGATCTTCTATGAAAAGCCATTCAGTTGGAAGAAGATTAGAGTAGAATACAACACCCATCCTCAAATCACAGCCCTAGTCCAATCAATTAAAAAAAAAATTTACTCCAGATATGGTCTTCTTTCAATATAAGAGGAGGCTAGAAATCACCATATAGAATTTTGCAAGACCAAGGACTTCTTCACTGCAAATATCTTTTCAGCAAACAAGCAGTGACTGTACTTGTGGACATCGCCAGATGGAACATATAGAAAATATATAACAGCATATGTGAAAAAAGATGATGGAGAAGCTCAATATCAGCAGCAAAAACCAGGCCAGGGGCTAACTGTGAAATAGACCAGGAATTGCTCATGTTCAGTTTGAAGTTGAAGAAAATGGAAACAAATCCACAAGAGTCAACATTTGACCTTGAGCCTATCCCACCCAAACTTTGAGAACATGTCAAGAACAGATTTGATGCATAAAACATTGATGAAAGAAGACCTTATGAGCTATTGGA